CCCCGCCCCTGATCCCTCGCACCGCTGCCGCCCCCGGCCCTGACCCCGCGCGCCCCCGCCCCCGCTCTGACCTCGCACGCCGCCGTTGCTGCCCCGACAACCCAAGGCGCCGCCGCCCCAAGATGGGAAGGCAGCCGCCGCCGAGAAAGAAGCTCCGGGTAGGGCGGAAGATGGGCACTGTGGCCGCCGGCGAGGAAGAAGATTCCGGCGGAGAGGAAGAAGGCGACGGATGCCGCGGACGAGCAAGGAGGGGAGGCCGCAGAGCGGTCGCCTCATCTCCCTGCCCTGCGGCACTCCGGCGGCTGGAGCAAGGTAAGGCAGAGCAGGGGACTAGGAGCGGCTAGAGGAGCTAAGTCAGGGCCCGTTCCGCAGCTCTCCGACGGATAAGACCACGGCGGTGCTGGTCGGGTGGCCACACTCGCCTCCTCTTGCACTGCTCATGGTCTCCATCAAGCACGCACGAAAGAGATGGGCTGCAGGAAGTGAGAGGGCCAGGATTCGCCTCTATCAATGGAATTCTTCACCACGCAACTTATTTGAACTGCACCACCCCTACGCCTTCTTCCTCGTGTCTGAGGCTCCCAATAGACAGTAGATTTTATTGCCAGTGGAGCGATGTGGTCTGAGTCCTCTCTATCCATGTGTTTGATTTTTTTTGTGCAGATGCAGCAGGCAGTGCAGATGCAGCAGGCAGTGCAGATGTACCATATTCTGAATTTTGAATCTTGTCTCCTGAACTACTCCTCGCCGCCACCACTTCTACTACCGGTGGTAACCCTCGTCGCCACACCTGGAACCGGTTGTCCGTCAATAGAAGGCGGTCTGTGTCCATGCTCCGCTGATCACCCAGTCACACCCTCTGTACGTGGAGAATGCCTTTATTCTTCTGTTTGAAAAATCTGAAATTCTGAAGCAACCGTATTAGTTCACACATGTACCATCTTGGTATTAACCAAATCGAACATCAACAAAATAAAAGCAGACAATAGAGATACTAATGTGAACCTGTGTGCATTATATAGAAATTTTGGTTGTTACTCCTTGTAGTACTTATCTTCCGATACATGTACAGAACTCATGTTTTTCTTTAGTATTCATCTTCCTGTACACGTACAGAATTGATGCACGGAAGAACATCATATGGAAGACAGGCTCCATTCAGTCAATTTTTCGAAAAAGCCATATGTATACTCAGAAGTTCTGCCTGGACAACCGCTTCAGTTCGATGTCGCTGCACAGTGCAACTTTGTTATGCTCTTTTCGTGATCAAACAAAAGCATGTTGTTGTTTGTGTAGATTTGTGCACATAAAGGTTAGAAATATAATGGAGAAGGAGCATGTATGCGTGTGTGTGGTGGTGAGGTTGACGATCAGAAAATGTGTGGTGAGGTTTAGAAAAACATGTGTGTGATGGAGAAATTCACTAGCACTTTGAATTGGGACACAAGTAATAGCTTCTTTTGTGCAAACACAAGACAAAAATGCATGTGTCTTTTAGTAAGAGAAATAAAACAAATGTTAAACGATCTTCCCATGAAAGTTAATGCATATGAAAAAAGGACATTCGGAAGGTTAGGGGTGACGAACTGAGAAGTTCATGCATGAGTGTTGAGGAAATGCTCAAGAAAAAGATAACACTGAAACACACATGGAAAAAAGAAATAACACCCAAAAGAAAGTCAGTTAAGTTAATAGAGACGTTCGATGTTTATGTAGCTAGAAGAAAACCTAAAAAATGGTAACTCTGAAAGTTCAGATTTGAATAAATTTTAAAGTTTGAAAAAATTGAGAAAGAAGACACATATTTGTACAAGGATTTTCCCCTGTTTAAAAAAAACAAAAGGTTCAAATTAAATTAACATAGTTATTCGATGGTTGTATGAAAAATATATTTTGTACGTTTCTAGAAAACTCAAGAAGGTCGAATAAAAGATGGAGTAGTTCGAAAAGAGTTAAAAATGAATTTCCCCTCAATTAAAAAACACTAAAAGTTCAAATTTAAATAATGGAGCGATTGTTATTTTTGAAAGTTTGGAGTGATGTTTTTTACCTAGTGGTCACGGTCAACTATAAAAGCCTATATTTTCCAACTCTAATTCCACTAGAACTTCCTACAAAAAACTTCCACTAGGAAAACTACAGAATTATAATGTATAAATGTAGAAAAGATATTAAAAAGAATACAAGAAGTTCAAATTAAAATAACAAATATTGTTTCGATGTTTATTGTAAAAATTGTATTTCCCCATTTCTAAAGAATAAACCAAGAAGTTCAAAACTGAAAAAATAGAGTAATTCAAAATTTAAAAAACTTGGATTTTCCCCGTTTCTAAAATACCCATAGAGGTTCAAATTTAAATAATAGAGAAGTTCAATTTTTCTTACAAAACCAAGAAGGTCAACTCATAATAACAGAGGAGTTCAGTTCAAAAAAAACCTAGAAGTTCAAATTTGAAAACACCAGAAGTTCAATTTGAAATAACCGAGAAGCTCAAAATACCTAGAAGTTCAAATTTAAAAACCTACAAAATTGTTTGCTTATTTAAAACCATATTTTTCTCTAAGAAGTTTAAAGTAAAACAAGAGAGAAGTCGAAGGTTAAAAAAACTCACATGTTTTCTCATTATAAAGAATAAAATGAAGAAGTTTAAAATTAAATAAAAAGGAAAAACTAAAAAAAGTTAGAGCGGTTCGATTACCATATAAACTCGATTTTTTCCGTTAGTAAAGCCAAACAAAGACGATAACTGCCGAAAGTTCACGTACTGCATGGTGTGCATTTCTTATGAGAAAAAAGGAATAAAAAGATAAAGTGTAAAAAAGATGTTGCTAGAAGTTCAAGTGCCCCGTCCGGGGATTTTAAAAATTCTTGGGAAAGAGATTCACCTTGTATTTCCAAGTTCGAAAACACAATTTTTTTGTTTTAAAATAATTATCTCAATCCACGAAGAAGTTCAGTTTATTATTTTGGAGCAATTTGATTTCAAAAATAAAAACAGAAATTCAAATTATAAAAATGGAAAAAGTTCATGTGCTACATGGTGTGTGTTTAATATGAGAAAAATGAATAAAAAGGCAAGGTCCAAATTTTTAAAGAAAACTCAGATTCTCCTCGTTATTAAAGAATGGAAATAAGAAGTTCAAAAATTGGATAACAAGAAGTTCACCTTTTAAAAATAGAGCACTTCAAAATTTCATAAAAAAAGATTAAGAAATAAAACTAGGAAGTCCATATTAAAAAGATGGAGAAGTTCGATGATTATAGAAAACTCGGATTTTCCTCGTTATTAAAGAATGGAAAAAAGAAGTTCAAAAATTAAATAACAAGAAGTTCAACTTTTAATAATAGAGCGCTTCAAAATTTCATAAAAAGGATTAAGAAATTCAGATTAATCTTCATAAAAAAACTCAGATATTTTCATGTAACCGAGAGAAGTTCACACTGATAACTACCAGAAGTTCACGTACTACACGATGTGCATATTGTATTAAAAAGGAATAAAAAAGCAAAGACTAAAAGTTCTATTGTTATAAGTTCAAGTCCTTTGTCGGAGAAAGTTAAAAAAATTATTGTGAAAGTGGTTTGTACAAAAAGAATATCATTTGTGTAACACTAACGAATGGATGAGAAAATTACAAACAAAAATACATCACAGAAGTTCAACGTGAAAACAACAGGAAGTTCAACTACTATAGTGAATGAATTTGAGATGAAAAACTTTTAAAATCGTCGCAAGTATGAAAAAATGATCAACACGGAAAAGTTGCGTGTTTACAATAGCTTTCCATTGATATATCACTTGCTCAATTCCAGTGAGTGGATGGAGAGCTACGAGCAGTGGATGAAGAGCTACGAGCAAGAAAAACAAGTGAAAAAACAGAGTGAAGTTCAGGTACACGTGCCGAGAAGTTCAGGTTCTTCACGTGGTGCATTTCCGAAGAATCAGTTTCGCGATAAAGGCAGAACGAATGATCTCGCCATTTTCGTAATTACTTAAAAACGGCTAGGAATGAGAGAAAATCATCAACATGGAAAAGTTTCGCATTTTTCGTAGCTTTTCAACGATATATTATTTGCGCCTTTCCGTTAAAGTTTGTAGAAATTACGGGAAAAATACCTTTTTATCCATTTTCAAAACTGACTTAAAACCGTAAGGAATTGGGAGAAACAATACATACAAAAAAGTTTCGCATTTGTTCAAGCTTTCCAACGCCATATCATTTGCTGCATTCGGACGCACGGTTCAAAAATTAGCTTGAAAATACGAACTCGGTCGAACTTGTATCGTTTTCTAAATTACTTTTAAACCGTTCAAAATTAGAAAAACCTTTTAATATTAAGAAGTAGCGCATTTTCATAAGCTTTCCAACGCCATATCATATGCCTCAATTGGATTAGCCATTTACAAATGACATCGAAAATACGAACTCAGCTGTTCGGTTTATGAAATTTTACGTTTTTTCAAATTACTCTTTAACCATAGGGAATTAGAGAAAACTTTCAAGATGTGGAAGGAGCGGTTTTGCAGCAGCTTTCCAACGCCATATTATATGTCTCATTCCGATAAACAATTTAAAAATGCGATCGAAAATACAATTCACTTTTTTGTGTGAAGAAAAAACGGTTTTCAAAACTGCTCTTAAACCGCTTATATTTTGCCAAAAATTTAAGTTGAGTCATGATATTGATGTCCATAGCTTTCCAATGGTATATCGCAAGCCTCATTTGGACAATGTTGGCGAAAGTTCAACTTAGTTCACACAGAAGTTCAACGTACTACTAGCGGGGCAGGTCAGGTTGTGATCAGAAGGCAAACCCCCAACCTCCCGCACCTGTCCCCCACCTCTCGCCCACCACCAACCTCCCGCACGGTGGCGTGCCTCCTCCGGTGCGGCAGGCGCGCCTCCTACCCGGCCGGCGCACCTCTTCCCCCATGGCTGGCGTGCCTCCTCCAGCGCGGCCAGCTCCCCTCCTCCCCAACGGCCCTCGGATCCAGCCGTCGTAGGGCCCCGAAATCTCGCATGCTGTCATCGGCCATGGATTCCACTACGCCGTCGTAGGGACCTGGATCCCGACCACCGACGCACGGCACTGGACCCAGAGTGCATCCGCCAGTCCCTGGGAGCCACACGCCGCCGCCCTCGATGGCAGGATCCCACGCACCGCCGCCGCCTCCCTCGATGGCGGGATCCCACGCACCGCCGCCGCCGCCCTCGATGTATGGATCCATAGGAGCACTGGAGAAGGTTTTCTTCGCTCTGACCATCTACGGGGAGGGGATCTATGCGAGCCGAGGTCGGCCCCCTCAGCAGCGCCAACTGTCCAGCCCCGTCCCCTGCCGCATCGGGCCACGAGGTTAATAGTGAGATCCCTCCACGTCCACTGTACTCCTCCTCGTCGACTCTTCTTGGATCTTCAAGAATGGCACAGTAGCTCCAGTGGCTTCTCCTTAGTCCATGAACGGGGTTGCTTACTGGCCGGGGAGGCTTCAGTTCAGCAGGGCATGCACACGGTTCGACTTTGGCCCGTCACATCGTCCTGCTGGCCGGTGACCACCAGAGCTGCCCTGAGGCGTGGTCTTTCTCGCCGGTGCTGAGCGCAGCTTGGCTGGAAAGAAGAGGAGCTCCATCCAGCCTGTGAAGTTTAGCCGGTGAACATGTGTAGTCCGACGGCGTGTGTGTGCTTGTGTCTGGTTCACGGGTGTAGTTTGGTGCTTGCGTGCGCACGACAGCCACATGTGGCGTGAGGAGAAGCCAAGCTAAAAGAAGAACACACTTTCTTCACACGCGTGTGCACTCAAGATAGGCACAGAGAAGTTCAGGGATTTAGGCATGGCCCAGCCGTTGCAGCATCAACGACAACAGTGCAGCGCTCCTGGTGCTCCTCTCCCTCT